TAACGCTGCCCTGACTCCAATAGATTCTTGAATTTCGTCTGTATTACCTTACAAAGAGGACATCCGCTAACCCCGGTGATGGGTTCGGAGAACGAATTAAACTGTGTCAAGGGCCACTGATGGCCAGAGAAATCGCCCAAGGTCACCTGAGCAAGCGCCGTGGGAAGCTAGCTGTCGGTGGTAGGTTTACTTCTCACCCGATCGATTCATCCGCCAACCTACAACGGCTGCGATGAGAACGCTTCTGACAGACCGTGTTGGACGTGCGCCCGAAGACTAATCTTGGTCCACCCTAGTGTGCGCCCATCACTCCATTCGCCAACCGGTCCAGGATGTCGTCCAGCCTCGGACGGGTCCGGATATCAAACTCTTTGACCTCGACCTCGAGCCAGGTCATGTGCGGGAGGCGCCTTGTCGCAACAAGAACATCGCCACTGTTCCAGCCTCAAGTGATTCTCAGCAGTGGGTTGCCTCTCGCATACTTGAAAGTTATCGAGAATAACGTGAGTTTCAGCATGCCTAGGACATAACGATTCTCTTTACGCGCAGCCAATCCCATGCGGCAGTGACATCCATCGCTGCTTCTCGTCTTCTCTCTACAGTCCGATTCCTACACGCTCAGCACTGACCGTCACGGATAAATTACCTCCTTCATTGGTTGGTGAACGGTCTAATTGATTGCGGGGCTCCTCCCCCGTTCCTCGGTAAGCCTTTGATGCTGGCACATCTGTTGTGCCGCCGCGAACAGTTTCCCCAAGGATACCCTGTGAAGTCCTGCCAATGCTTACCATGACCGGTCGAATAGCTACGGCCGCTATAGTGCTCACGTTGTGGCTGTTCAACACTGCTCGGTTGCGGTAAGCTGTTGCATGTGAGATTGAACGGGCAGTCCTCGGCGGTCATTAAGCAGCTTTAGATTATGCGATGACGAATGTGCAAGGGCGCCCAACCGGAGCTGCGTCCGATCGCTGTCGATATATGTTACGCTGGAACCTAGTGAGCATATACAATTTCTTTTCCTGTGTTGGATTGCCTCGAAGACTCCATGCATTCAATCCATAATGTCGCAACCATCAGAACCATCCGTTAGTTGAAGGTGCGGTCTGGGGACCGACGACACCGCAGTCTGAGCAGCCCCTCTCGACTTTGGACCCCGTCGCTTGGTGATTATGCTGTTGACCGCATTGAGTAGGATCAAAATTTGAGGTCCGTTGGATATATGCTGTGCTGTCGATCACTAGGTGGCCGACTTAGAACTCCACCGTGAGGCACAGTTGGAGACAAACATGGCTACTCTGCTTACAGCAAATTTTTAGCTGGTCTTCCGAAGAAATCCGAAGTCCACTCTAAGGCGAGCCATTTCAGTATGACAGTTCAAAACGATATAAGGTGTACACGCGCTACAGGCAATACCCCAATACCGAGTCCATGGCCTTCTCATGCACAAATTCTCCATACAAGGACCACATTTTTCCTACAGCGTATGTTTTGATACCGTGAAATCCCCAAGGCTGCATCTGCTCATTGAGAGGGTCTTAGAGGAAGAAGATCCAGGAGGGACACCGTCCGTGAAACTGTCGTCATGTTGTCCGCAGACCAGAGCCCTAAGAAAAGGCGAAGATACGCCTGATATAGAGATGCCCAACCTGCAGTGCAGCTATTAGACATTCCCCTGCGAATGCGGGGTTCTGGCGGTTGACTGTTACTTGTCCTCTTCTTATGAGGTTTCCGAGTTCTCGACCTAGAATGGGCCCAGCATCCTATCTCCGCTTACGCATCCCGAGGATATTTCTAGACACGTCTCTGTCAAGCTATCGGCCCCCATTGATTGGTTGGTAATGCACCTTACGGTCTTTCATAAACACACGTTGGAATCAGCCACCGTCTCTGCATTCTTCTTTCCGCGCGTGAAGTGCGCCCTCGAAAAGCTCGAACATTGTCGCAAGCAGCTCTGGGAAGTCATACGTCCATACATGCGCACTATTGACTTCGAATGTTTATGTGGCCAAGAGACGAGCGGCACCTCAATACTCTCGGCAGATTGCGAGTGTTTCCCGGGACAAACTTAATGGATGCTAGAAAATGGACTCAGAGCGTTTCATTAAAAACATGTCTTGCAGCTTTTAGTATAAAGAGCATACTGGGTCCTTCTTTAGCATGCGTTCAGAGGTTGGAGGGCCGCAGTTACAGTAATAGCTTGTGATGTTGTACGGGTTTCTTGTTTTCCTGCTTTATGAAATTTATCTGTATCGTTGCCATGGACGTCACCCGTCTTCTCACAATCCGACCACTCGAGTCAGGGAATCCAGCCTCGATTGTTCTGGTTTGCAGGAAGGCAAGATAACCCGACTGCACATAGTTTGACTAGTCCATAGTTGGTCACCGGTGAGTGCCACAAGGATCGGCGAGGTTACACTCGGCCTTTGGTCTGCCCATGCCTAGGACCGTGGCCTCAATGTCACCTTCAACTTCGGGCTTGCATTGGGTGAACCGTTTTGGGCAGGGTTGGCGCGTGGTGTCATCTTGATTTTAAGTCAACGAGACAGCCAACCTTTATAAGTGCCATGTGCGTCCTAGGCTGGGGCCTCTCGCCTTCGCGATATGCACATATCTCACAGAAACCCCATTCCTCCCGGCGTCACTCATATCCTCAGCGAACAATGAAAGCCCACCTGCCACGACTGAACGAGCTCCTAAAAGTACTGTCATCGGCAGGAAACAAGCCGCATCCAGGTATCAGGCCAGATGCCTCACGCCCCACGGAATCGGATCCGCCCGACGACTGGATACCGAACTCCCAGCACGTCTTGGACGAGCGTATGCTAACCGAGGAAAACGACGAAAGTGAGAGAGATGGCGCACAGGAGGTCGACAGCGTGGTCACAATTGGGCCACCTGAGAGTCCACCTGACGTGGCGGATAAAAAGATTCTCATGTCGTTGATCTGCGAGTATGTCCCGTCATATGATGTCCCAAGCCCGGCCGTCATTCGCCCTTGAACGGTGCTGATCTCTATCCTCAAGTCTCGAAGCCAGAGTCCGGTAAGCTTATCTTCATTGCGCTACCAAGCGACACTCTACGGGACCTTGAGCTGACGGAGAGCTATAGAAAGCTGGAGGAACAAATGGAGGATCAAAACCAGGAAAATCACCGCCTGCACAGGAGAGTGAGCAGCACCTATGAGAGTGTCCCGACCTCTCACACCAAATCCCGTCGCTCAGCTCGGTACAAGGAGATGGAGTCGGAATGAACATCGTTTAGAACCACTGTCTTTCACCAAGCTTGTCCGGCCGGAATTAAGATCTGCTCGATTCTAGAGTATATAGCTATCTTCAATGAAGAGTGAATGTTTGTGCTGGCTGTAGTAGAGCGAGGGCAACCTGGTCTGTCGATCCCAAGATAAAGGAATACGTTGTCTACTCCGGTAAACAAAAACTTCCACCCCGTAGCTGCATTTGATCGTCGGTGGCGTTGGGTGTTGAACGAATCAGCCGCACAGGTGATCATTTAAACTCCAGCGGTTCGGTGAAGTGGGTCTCCATCATGTCCGCCAGACAAAGATGCGAGGATGTGTCACGGACGTGTGTCGCGCCCCTCACGCCTGCTGGTACTATCCCCAGCGTTTGAGCCCATCGAAGCTCCACTGTGAGATCAGTTAATGTGTCGAAGGTCATCGGCACAGCCTGGTGTGACGTCGGAGGCAGATCACGTTTGTCGCTGCCTCGCGACGCCCACGTTCGATGGCCAGGTCACCCTGGCGACAACGTCGTAGGCATTAATATATCCAAGCCTTTTTCGTGACTTTGCGCCAAAGAGTCCATGCGAGTGTTTTCTTTGTCTTCCCCGATACCACTAAGCCTCGCAGTGGTTAACGATGTGGACTCCCCCTCGGAGCAGCTGACTCAGCAAGCGATCGGCCTGGCGGTATTTTACTTGACGGAGGCAAACAGCCAGACAGACGTATGGCCATGACTGTGGGAAGTGATTGGTTGTTCTCCTATCATGTGACCCATGTGGGTGGTTGCAGCTATCTAGGATATGAGGCTTACTAACGGATGACTAAGCGTGGTCGACCCCTAGGGGCAGGCGGTACTGAACGGCAGTATGCTCCCGACACAAGGGACACTCTGACCACCAACATCGCCATTGGAGCTTTCCATCTTTTCCATCCCTTATTCGCGGTAGCGATGAGTGGAAGCAGCTCTCCAGACTACAAAGCGCTTTTCCTCAAGGAAGCTGTGCTGAGACGGCAGGCAGAGGAACGCAACCGACCGACGACTTTCCCAGAGTTCATCCACCATTGCCACGATCTCCTTTGGAGGCCACTCCGAGCCCAAACACCGTCTCGCTCCACCACAGGCAAAATTTCCGCTCCTATCGGAAAACGATGTCCCGTACGGCTGCTTCCGTGGACTGACTGTGAGGATAAACAGCGGGAAATTTACGAATCTGTCTGCCGCTACCTGCAGCCGACCGAAGGGGATGCACGACAGTTATTCACGTCACTGGTTGCCTTGGAAGACCACGGTCGACGACTTGCACGCCGACCCATTAGCAGCGAACAGGATCTTGAGACCTACGAACGACTCGCCGTTGAAGATCACGTGCACGATATCGTCGCGGAGTTGTGCAAAATACCAGAGGCTCGCCAGGACTTCCGGTTAGGCAATGGGTTATGGTTCGATAACCACCCCAATGCTCTGGACGAAGATGATGAAGTCGATGCTAGCCAACCATCGAGGCCTTCGAGGCCTTCGAGGCCGGATCAATTTTGTGTTTATCATGCGGACGGTAACCGACGTACCTTGCTCACCACGGTCGAGTACAAACCCCCCCACAAACTCTCCGCTGCGAACCTACGGTTGGGACTCCGACCGATGGATTTTTGGCGAGAAGTGGTCCAACCTGATCGGGTTCCGACGGAAGAGCCAGCGAAATCCAGATATCACGCCGAGCGGCTGGTCGGATCAGCCATCGCACAAGAATTTCATGTGATGATTCAAGAGGGTCTGGAGTATTCATATGTGACGAACGGCTTGATGGACGTGCAGCTCTGGGTGCCCTACGATGACCCAACTACCCTTTATTACCACCTGGGTGATCCCGGTATATACGAGATGGCCGGCGTTGCAGGGCATGGAATTCCCAAGACTCGAATCGAGAGGGCCCTGTGTCTCTGTTTAATGAGTCTTCGTGCTCCGCTACGTGACCAGGCGTGGCGAAATACTATCAAACCTACACTACCGATATGGAAAACGAGTTATGATAGCGATCGCGCTCAGCTCGTAGTAGTGGAATTACCACGAGACTTGGACGTGGACGATGCTACCTCTGAATCCGCAAGTCCTGAGCAGTCAACCTCGGAGTACCTCACATCCTCGTCCCCCATCCCCAGCGGGCCTCGAGTGACTACCCGAGCCGCCGCTAGCTGTGCGCCACGATCCGGTCCGTATCACCACGAGAGTTCTTCGGATTCCGAGGCCGACCCGACCGCATCTGCAGGACGGAAGCGGGGGTTCAGCCAGGTCACATCGTCCCCTCCAACCCAACGGTCTGCACCGCCGGCCGGTCGTCAAGGAAACCAAAGCGGGCAATCTCGCTCCCATGATGCTCCATATTGCACACAAAAGTGTCTTCTCGGGCTCCAACAAGGCGGCACGCTTGACCCTAAGTGCCCCAACACGGAGCTGCATATGCGTGGTGGAAGGGCAGACCGCCATTCGATCGGTGCAGCTGACTTGGTAAAAAAGCTCAAAGCGCAGCTCGATCAGGATCTGGATCATAACTGCACTCCGATCGGCCCTTGTGGGTCCTCTGGCGCACCATTCAAGATTACGTGTGCCACCTTGGGATATACTGTTGTTGGGAAGGGGACAACATCGAGACTCTGGGGGGAGGTCTCGCGTGAAGCAGACGTCTACCGGATCCTGCGGCGTGCTCAAGGATCGGCTGTTTCCGTCTTTCTCGGGGCGATCAATTTGGCCCTAACCTACTTCCTCCATGGCGCGGGAAGGATCCGTCATATGCTTCTAATGGGCTGGGGTGGCGAGAGCGTGGGCCATAATCCTCTGGACAAGGCCATCCAACGGGCGATTTATCGGTCGGTGAAGGAGATCCGCTCTTTCGGCGTCGTTCATCAGGACCTTCGTCCGGACAACATCCTGTGGAATGCTGAGCTCGAGCGAGCCCTGATAATTGACTTCCATCTGTGCACCTTGGACCGTCGACCGCTGCACAAACGGCCCCGTGCTCTCAAACGATTACGGTGTGGTCCTGATGAAAGTCACTCAAAGCGGGTGCGTGTGGTATAGGAAGAAAACACTGGAGATTGTCATTCTAGTTTACCCCAGCTCACCCTCCCCGCGCGACCTCTCAGCCGACCGGTTGGCTATGAGAGAAATGGGAATTTTGTATATTTGTCTTGTGTCTTTACAGGCTTCGGACCCCCAAATCCGAACCCTCCTCTTGTCTCAAACAACCAATGAGCTCAGCGCTCTATTCGGTCTAACTATATTTTCTCTTGAGTACAGCTCAGAAATTCCCTTAGAGTAAACTGGTATCTCTCAGCCAGACGGACTGGAATGTCTTCTCAGACTAATATAATCTTAGCAGACTAAGGAAGTCAGTTCAAACAACTTAAATCTACCTAGACTGTCTTAGTTTAATAAGAAGATTGCTTTGTCTTCCCAGACCGACGAAGTCTTAGCAGACTACAATAGCCTCTCCAGAGAACGAGAGTTCCAGTAGACTGATTGTCATTTCAGAATAAAATATATTACTGAGGTAATCGTCCCATTCACTTTGTTTCATGGCCCAGAAGGGCAGAATTATCTTTCCAGACTAGGATGTTCTTTTCAGATGACATAAGCTATCTAGAACATTCAAGTCCATAAAAGCTAAATAATCTTCCCGGAATCTAAGATCTTAACGTTTATAGATGGTTGCAAATACGGCACAAATGCGTATCCTCTGAATCCTCAATACTGGAAGTTCAACCACATAACCAATCGCTTCCATCAGCAGAAAGCCTACCACCTGTTGTACCTTCAAGATACCGTGTAATTCTAGCAGACTTCCAAAATCATTTCCAGATAATTTGCCAGAAATCAACAACAAAATCCCCACCCTCCGCCAGCAGCTCCCGGAACCCGGTAATTTCACCTATTTGTCCAAGAACAGATACAATATAGGTTGTAACCAATGTGCTAAGAGCATCATTGGGCATTGTATCTTGATAAGAAGCCCGAACCAACTCAGCTACTACACCTATATCATCTTCACACAGTGTGAAGCATGACAAGGTCGTCGCCAGCTTACCCAGAACCAAGTCCGCAAGCGAAACAATACCATACTTATCAGCCAATATATATAGCTTTGTATGTCCAAGAAAGACAGGCGTGAAATCATTCTTAGGATCACAATTACCCCTTGGGGCAAACTTTTCTTTTGTTTTGGATAAGACATTGTCATACGAATTTGTATATTGCATGCTGAGATTTTTGAACCTGTCCCGCAGATGGTGGCTCCAGATACTTTTTTTCTCTATAGGGTAATGCATACCCATCGAAGAGATCATGAGTCTGGGCCACTTCTTCTTCTGGCTCCGCTTCTGGGGCCATTAGTTCGTCGGCGTAATTCTCACAAGGGGTTTCTGCTGGTGGCTGGTCAGATGATGGTTCGCGGCTCGAGCAGTAGCCTTTTTTCTTTCTTCCGCTTGCTCTTCTTTGTTATTGATAGTGAGGAGTACCCACTCCATTCACCAGCCTCAGTTTGTTCCTCTGCCATCCCTGATGCTGATACAAGTGTCTGGTAAGACCTTTCCGTGCACGACGGTGGCGTGTAATCGCGCACGTAAGCATACTCACACAACCGAATGAATGTATCCTCATCGACCACCTCCGACCAGTCGACATGATGAGTCTTTGCCTCTAGCATTGGGTCGTTTAGGAGACAGTGTAGTGTCGATGATAGGCTGGCTAGGGGATCGGAGTGTACAGTGAATTCCTTCCTTGTAGGGCCGACGATGAAGGTGACGAGAGGAGACGAGATGTAACTGCTGTACCATTAATATGAGGTTCCCCTCCTTCATGGTTCATTTGGAGAACTCTAATTGTTTGGGTGACTTACATGCCAAAGTTGCTGTCCATTGTTGTGGTTATAGCGAGACTAAGTAGTGTAGCTTTGGGGGTTGTTGGATGAGGGAAGGAAGCGATGGTGGGGCTCTTATTGAGATAGTAACTTAAATATTTTAATATTACTTGCAGGAAGCGTGACTAGGCTGACACGTCACAGTCGGCAGTGCGGGGTTGTTGAATTACTAAGTGCCAATAATTTAACTATAACACGATAACTATACAAGGATAACTTGTTACCCATACACAATCGCTGGAGCGGGTATGTTAATTCTTCTCGAGTATGGGTTTTACTTCTTGACTGGACTGATTTTATGTGATTGCCTGAAATTGTAACAAAGGAAGGTTCAGCTGAGTGTGATTAAGCCCCCTTGGCGGACACCATGATTAGGTAATTGCAAGCAAGACCGCAGGTAATCAGGTAATTAAAGATTGCGGGCAGCAGAAGACTGCGGTCAAGTGAAGACTGGGGGTAAGAGGTGACTGCAGTCCACCTGGAGTCATCGCTTCGTCTGACCGCAAGCCTCCCTGTCGCACCAGTCCTTTTATGCACTTACGGACCTTGCTTGTCAAATGGAGAAAAGGAGAAAGACGACCGCTGCGGGGATTCCACACATGGAGGGCCAGCAACCACTGCGCAGGCCATAAACCTCTACCGTGACTTGCACAACTGCCATGACTGCCTCGGACTGCTCAAATGAGCCGGTTTCGTTGTGGTACTGGAAACTGACGGCTGCTGATGCGAGGGATCAAACATAGACATACATTCTCAGTGTATCCGGATAGCTGGGAATGTCCCCTCAAGAAGCAGCATAGTTCTGAGGTATAATTCTCAGAGGACTGACATACTGTACCCCGAGCTTTATATTGACCAGTGAATTCTCCACCTTGGTGACTACTAAACATCAAAGTGTCAATCAAACCCGAATACTATGATTGCGTGCAGGTGGCCAAGAAATGCAGAGGATAGTTCTCACAAGTACTGTACCATCCCTGCAAACAAGACTACGTGTAGCCGGCATGGAGCGACCAATTAAGAAAGAAAAATGGGCGATTGGTGGGGTGACACAGTTAGCCGGTCAGCTCGGGATTAATAGCAATAGCCACGAAATGAATCGCCTTTTCTTGCGAGGAAACCCAGCTGGCAACCAACTTATTATAAATTAGAGAACATTAAGAATTCCACTCCCTTCTTGTTCCGATTGCTACAACAGGCTTCATGCCCAATGGAGCAGCCATACTATGGATCCTGAGCGGATTCGGGGTCGGGAATTTGTAGAGCAACCGGGTACTATTCCATGGCCTTTCTGATCTTACTATGCCATTACTATTGGCACATTCTGATTGGCGATGGCTGGTGCATGGCCACGTCATGCGAGACCTACAGATGCCATCCCACCGGGCAAAGCATAGGACCAGCAAGAAGCTGATGACCAAATCAATCCCTGACTCCCACACAGCAGCTCGCATTCGCTTGTCCATAAATAGCGGCAATGATAACCCTTTCTTTTGTTTGCCATAGGGCACAGCTTCTCCTGTCTGAAAATGTCCACGAGCCCTTGATGAAGAAAGGAGGAAAAAGAAAAGAAAATCGGTAGTATTCATCTCTGCTGATACAGCTGTTGTACCTACGGAGCCCGTTTCTGCAAATGAACAAATTATCAGATAAATGAAAGACCTCGTCCTTAGATTAGATACTATGGTTAGTAATGTTATCTCTTACAATTACTGACATCCAAATCAGTCAATTTCTCAATCCGAAGTACAGCGATTTGTCCATTAGTTGTGGCGATGAAGTCTTTCCAGCCCATCGGAACATCCTCTGTCCTCAATCAAAGTATTTTGAGGTCGCTTGTAGTAGTCGCTTTAAGGTGAGATACTTGTCATACTCCAGTTATTTTCGGGTGCAATCATGAAATTGATATAGAAACTTGTAGGAAAGCAACGGCGAGATCATCCTTGAGAATTGCATGCTCATCAAAAAGACACTTGAATTCTTGTACACGGGCGACTATACTTATGACGGTACTCCAATTACCCAAGCCCACCTGAACTTAAAGAATAGTTCTGAATGTTCACTCCAGACATGGGCAGAAAATAATATTGAGTTAGATGCAGACACTGAACAATACCCAAACCCATCACGAAAAACCACTACTACAAATTTTCAAACTTGTCAGGCCTTCTTCCACGCTCAAATGTACACACAAGGTGATTACTTTCAGATCAACGAGCTTAAGAAGAAAGCAAAGGATTACTTTATGAAATCTTTCCTGGAACATCCCGACCAAGATTCATTCAGCTCCTCCATCATTGAAGTTTACAGCTCAACAGGGGAGCACGACCGTGGACTCAGAGATCTTGTTGTCCAGCTCACGACGGATAACCTCAAGATTCTGAGGGATGGGGATAATCCCATACTCTGTGACAGACTTTTAGAATCTGTTCCCAAATTCATGCTGGAGGTCTGGTTGTCGACCTTGGACAAGTGTGCTCAATATCAGAGGCAGCAGTATGGATACGACTAGAATGTTCATTGTAATGCGCGAAAGGGTCTCGAATAATGTGCAGCTGCTCAACTTTTTGTTTGATATTCCACTTTACCTGTTTATAGTGAAGATAAAGCACTCTTCTTATTGAACTAAGACAGTCTAGGTGAATTTAAGTTGTTTGAACATACTTCCTTAGTCTACTAAGATAATATTAGTATATGAAGACATTCCAGTCCTCCAGTCTGTCCGGCTGAGAGATACCAGATTGCTCCTAGGGGAAACCTGAGCTGTACGTAAGAGAAAATATAGTTAGATTTTATAAAGCGCTGAGCTTATTGGTTGTTTGAGACAAGAAGAGAGTTCGGATTTGTGATGCCGCAAATTCCAATTCATGGCTGGTAATAATCAAGCAAAAAGATACCCGATAATGTGGCAATTGGAGTATCATGTATGTACCACGCAGGTGTTATGTCATCTATATAAAATGACCTGATTAGAGAGTCATTGCTGGTGTAGCAAACATAGCCCACTGTGAAATCTAGTGTCGTTCGCACTTTGGGAGCCTTTACATTTTATCTCTACATGCCAGAGTCTCACTCTCATTTCTCGATCCCGTTACTTGTGATGTTTTTCAGTTGCCCGAGCTTGTGACTGGTCACTAGGAACATTCTATGACTCCCCGGTAACATATCTGGCTGCTAACTCTTTCCATGTAACCTGTTTCGGCTTTGGATAATACGAAGCCTGTATATCATCTATCAGAATAGTACTCTCAATATTATTATAGAAGCATATTCTACCAGCACCTCCAGTGATGGGGGCCAGTTGCTGTTGCAGTTAAAGAATAGGATTTAACCAGTTTTCTTATCTTTAAACCATGATGAATATATCCGTATCACACTCGTAACAGTACTCGAAGGATTTGAAGAACAAGTTATCTTTTCGGCGACATTGTTGTTGGCGCTTCGATTTCGGAGTATCTGAAAGGCGTTTCTGTATTCTTCGTGGTCGTGCTACCGTAGCGGATATCGGTCTCGTCTTGCCAAGGGGGATCCAAGCCTATAAAGGTGCGAGACAGATATGTGCAATTTCCATTTCTCTTATAGCTGACCGGTCGGCTGTGAGATTGCGTGGGAAGGGTGAGCTGGGGTGAGCTGGGCCAATGACGTTGGGTAACAGAGATTTGATTTGTATGTAAAAGGAGAAATGGTGTGGCAGACAGGCAATCTAAAAAGATGTTATAGCCCATCTCAATAGAGTTCCCTGCAGATGGGCTCCGTAGACGTGCCAAGAAAATACCGCCATCATCCTCGTCGTCACTTGTTACAGGGGGAGGTTTTGGGGACGTTGGCAGTAATCCTAGTTCCGCGGCACTCTGACGGTGGCCGGCGGGCAAAGCCCGGAGGTCGCTAAGGACAGGAACGGCCAGGCTCGAGAAAGGGGGCATATGTGGTTCAAAGTGGCAGTAGATAATAAAGAGAGATGGTGAAACAGATCAGGCAAGAAGACTATGCAATCTGCAGCGTATAAGTTGTTGGTTGAGTTGGGGGACCGGGCAGGCTTTATATGTCTGCCAATACTCCAAGTTAGTCTTAGACTGGGAGAACGACAATGCTGAATCTGCTTCACAGGGAGCCAATACCGGCTGGGAATGATGCCTGTGGGCAAAGTCCCCGTAGCGCCTCGACCTGGCTGACCTATGACAACTCTTCAGGGGTAATTCGGCTCTCCAGCTCATAAGGTCGAGGATTCTTTTGCTCGTAGCACGTGTAAAGCGAACTGGCTCAGGCGTTGACCGGTGTCTGGCCTTGACGGTCTGGTGAACCGCGCAATCGTTCCCGGGACGGCCACTCACCCCAGGATGACGGTCAAGACTCCTCGGAACACTTGCTGCGCTCCGGAGACACCGTTTGGCAGTCCTCGGAGCACGGTATCTCCCACGTTTTACGTCTTTTGTCGGGAGAGGCGATTTGCTAC